ACACTACATCTTTACAATTTTTTCGTCTCAAGATACAATTATTTTGCCATTTCATAGTTTTGTACAATTGTTACTGGATGATTGAAGCTCCTACTCTCACATCTTCACTCTCAAGAGTAGAGGGGATAACAGGATTGTTTTTCGATTTATTGGATTTATTTCGACCATCAAAGTTATCTATCGATAGCATAGAATGTAATTTGACTGTGTCAAAAAAAAATAGAGAAAGTCCAGAAGTGTTAGACGTCACTCACAGCTGATACGACACCCTTGAGTAAATGTTCTTGCCTTCGCCATCACTTTAGTACCTGTCCTGTACGTAATACTTTCTGTTGGATAACTAAATATATAGCAGAATTTGTTAGATAATGGTATATATCCGTCACTCTACTACCTTGATTGTTCTCTTTCTTTTCTATATCTATATATGATTCTTCTACTTGGATTATTCCTTTAGTTCTCTTCGATGGATTTTTCCTTTTGTTTCTTTCGTATATGTAATTGTGATTTAGTTTTCAATAACGAGGAGAAGAAGAGGAAGAAGAAATGTGAGAGTTAAAATTAACAGAATTTTATAGAAAAATCCCGATCAATCCTAAAAAAATAAATTATGGTAGTTGTTCAAGAGTAGAGAAGTCTTTTATTTGTTGAAATTGTTGTTTGCATTGTTCAAAGATGTTATTTTATTGAATAAAAGTCGATTTTGAAATTTTTGAAAAATCATGAGTTATACCAAACAAGATTCAAAATTCATCATCAAAAATTACCATTAGAAAAATATCTTGTGTACTTTTCATTTTGTAGAAAAATAAAACAATTTTTTTGTTTTTATTTATAGATTCTATTCAACATCAAGCGATGCTTTAGCTTTTCATGAAGTTTATAATATATTATTAACATTAAAATATATAGATAATAATTGGATAATAACAATTCATTATGTTCTAAAAAGAAAAGTTGCTACTTGAGTAGAAAAAGTAACAAAGAAAGAAGAAGATTCAGAAATTGAATCGTTGAAATCTTGTTAATCTTGTAGTTTTCATGAGTGTATTCCAAGGAGTATCCAACTCATTTAAATCAGTTAACTCAGTTTGGCTTGCTTAAGGGCTCTGCATTGATAATCGTCCTTACGTTAGGTACATTTAACTCGCCTGAAATTTGAAGTATATGCTGAAATTGTTGTAGAGAGATTATGGTAAAACTTTTAGTTCTGTACATTGACGTCTGTTTGAGAGCATATCAGCAATATGTCTTTTAGTGACTTAATTTGAGTCAAACTGAGTTAAGTTGATTTAAAGTGAGGTAAGTAATTCTATCTTTTGTGCTGTGATTAACTCATTTTAATTCACTAAATCACCTATATTTGATACTCCTTGCTGTATCTATACTTGTTATTTTACAAAAAGAAATTTCTTATTATTACTCTTTTTCCAAACAAAATCTTAAAATAAATCATATTTCATTAAATATATTTGCGTCTCTCTTCGGTCAACATACAGTCTGAGGAAAACATTTCAATAACTGACAATAACTACTTAATTTTTTGCTTTTATGACTTCATAGCATTTTAAAGATATAAATTTAACTCTTCTGTTTAAGTTAATCTGTTTTTTTCCGAAACAATAGTTAAAATTTCGTACAAGAAAAAGTAATAGTGTTGCATAATGATTCTGTTCGCCATCTCAAAAACGTAAAACAAGTTGCATTATACTTTATATTTATATAATTTCTCAAATATGGTAATCATGAAATGAACACATTGGAATTTTAACATAAAAGAGATATAAAACAGAATTTAACAAAGCAAAAAATACTGAATACTTTAAAAAATATATATACAATAATTTGCAAAAAAACTTAGCCTCGATATTTTGAACACCACTCTCTTAGAATTTATGTATTTCTATACGAATTCTCATATGGTTGGATAGTTCACGAAAAATGCTATGTATGGCTAGATTTTGATCTCTGTTGAAACCATTTTCGGAAGAAAAATAAAGAATATAAATGTCTCAATTGAAAGTGACAAAACAAACTTACACGATAGTATAACGATCTTTTAATTATTCTGTAAACGAGATAAAAAAAACGAGCAGATAGCACGTCAAGGAAAAATCATAGCAATGACAATTCGAAATCAACAAAATTATTGTATAAAGTAGCTACAAATAAATGAAATTTGAGTATCAAAATAGAAATGGATAAAAATTCGTGAAAAACATTGAATTCAGTGATGAATTGACTTCGACTTCAGTCTTGCTTGAAAACTTGAACAGTTTGTTAAAACTAGTGTTGATAATGAGAAAAGTTCATTGAACTTATTTTAAACAATTCTGAATGGTATAAATCAATAAAAACATGCGAAATAGTTTTGAGAAAGTATAAGTTTTTTTTGTCACTTTCAATTCAAACATTTATATCCTTTATTTTTCTTCCAAAAATGGGTTTCAAAGAGATCAAAATCTAGCCACGCATAGCATTTTCGGTGAGCTATCCACCTATATAAGAATTAGTAGAAAAAATATCACAACAGAGAATAGCAGCATCCTCAAAACGAGTCCGTATTTTTCATATAGTCTAGAATAACGGTACAACATGTGAACCTCTATATCTTCTTAATAAACACATGTTGAATTAATAATTTTTATTATCAGCTAATAGAAAATATTCTCCTTTTTTGGGTCGTATATAATCTAATTTTGTTATACATTTATGAAGAAAAGGACATGAGACGAAAAAGAAACACTCGAATAATAAAATTGCAATTCTTTATGTGGATTCATAGAAAAGATCTTGCAAATGACAGTTAATTTGATTTTTTGTAAACTCATCAACAAACGGTCTTATAAAACAATACTTAATTCAATTTTATGAAGTGGTCAAAATGTTCTTGCAAAACAATTGTTAATTATAATTGAATTTCATCTTACAAAATCTTTTTGATGAGTCCATCAACAAAAAGATGCAGAAAAATGATTATGCTAATGTTCTCTGTTTTCTCATATCATTTTACTTATCTTTTCTGGCAAAACAAAAAAAATTCTCTATCAGTTGTCTTTGGACGTGCTTATGAAGACATATACGGGTCCCATTTTATGGAAAAGTGTACTTCTCTGTGATGCTACGTCATTTCGTTCATGAATGTGTAATAAAAATAAATATGAACTTTACTTCTATCTAGAGAGTGATACGTAACCAGAAATAAATTTTAGACGTTGATTTTGATGTTCATGTCAATAATAATTCTTAATTTATTAATTTGTCTTATTTTCTGACAAATAGATTTTAGAAAATTTGAATTTTATATTCTATACTTAAAAAAAATGTTTTTGCTCTGTAATAAAAATATTTTTTACCTTTGTTTTTTCTTCAATATTATCACAAACAAAATCTGGCTACAGATATAAAAAAAATAACAATAATAGAAAAAGAAACAATTGTTTTTTTTGCGATATAATCAATAGTATGTCGTTTTCTTCCTCGATTTCTTTTTTTAAAAAATTCAAATAATTAATAGAAGAATAAACAAAAAGAAAAAGAATCATCATCATCATCATGGTAATGATCGAATTTGTGTTATATGTTTTCGATCATATGGGCAATCGGATAATAAACTTGGTCGTTTAATAACACTTGCACATTGATTACATAATGTACATTGACATGGTAATAATTGTGTATCAACTAAATTTTCATAACATATTGTACATAAACTTCTTGCATTTGATGGATTATTTAAATTCATTTTTGTTTGTAAACTATAATTATATAATTTGGGAATGAATACATTTCACGTATGTTGTCATTTATTCGAATATATAATGAGGGTGTAGGTGGGTGGGTGTGGGTGTGGGTCATTTCCGGAAGTACACCTACACCCACACCCCACCCACACCCACACCCCCCCACACCCACACCCACACCCACACCCACACCCAAAAGTCTGTCCAGTTCCCACTCTGATCCATACTCGCACTCACATCCACACCCATGGGTAGTTTCGGAACACTAATGATCAGTCATTTGGCATGTTTTCTTCGGTTTCTGTCGTAGTTTGCTTCTCTCAAAACAAGTGCATCACAGTTCTCAAAAGCACAGTCATATAAATAAAAATGGTGACTTGAGTTTATACTGTAACGAAGAGAAAAAAAATTCAAAAAGAAAAAAAAGTTTAGGTGGCAGAGTTCATATAGGAGCAAAGTATAGAAGCAACAAATTAATTAAGTAATGGCTTACTTCTTTATTTTCTCTATGGTATAAAATGATGACTTTTTGCTAGTTTCTGAAGTATTTCTAACACTTCATAACTTTGGATAAATATTATCATGAGAGGTCACGTGCTTTCTCTATTATTCTTGTGCATAAATATCATGCGGTCCTATTCACAAAATGTGCACTCAATGATGATGTTATTAATGGTCGATTCAGAATTTCAATATTTAAATCTATCTTCTCAAGCGTTTGCTACCAATACAGTCACTAATATACGACAATGTCAAATGATGTGCGTGATTCAAGAACAATGTCGTACTATCAATTTTCATGAATCAACTAATCAGTGTGAATTGTTCGCCGATACACCAGGCAATGGTGGTATGATATCAACACGATTTGGTAGTAAAGCAATGGTCGTCATCGACGGCACACGAATACCTGCTGGTTAGTGTTTATTTACTTATCTATATATATATATATCTATGTCTCTGTCATCAGAAATCTCTCGAGATGAATGGACTAAAATATGTTTTAACTAGTCTTATTCCATCTGATCAATCGAACCATTCTTCAGACGAAGCTTTTTAGGTTCTCTATGTCAGGATCAGTGTAGGACTCATCAGCATGAAGTATAAAGAGCATCCTTTTCATTAAAGATGTCACTTTGAACAGTAACAAATGTAACATCTATTCTAAGGCATATAACGAAAAAAAATAAAGAAAAATTTGTCTCCACCAATTATAACTTCAACAATATCAATTCAAAAATTCAAAAATTGTTTTTTGAATGTTCTTTGATCATCAATGAAAGTCAGACACATAATTCAATCAAGATGTTTTAAATCAAGATATTTTCTTGAGTAAATAAATACAAATTATTATTTCTAAATAACAGCTTAAATGATTGACTTCAATTAAACGATACTCGAACTCTAGACGTTAACGACGCTCAGTATGTTTATTGAAAGTAATAATGTAAAGTATTCAACAGTAGTAATAGCTCGAATATTAGACTTAAGAAAATCTAATAAATAATGATCTTCATATCGGTAGTCTAACTAAACTTGCATTTTTGAATAAACGTCAGTAAAACTGCGTATAAAAAAATAAATATGCAGCTCTTTCTTATCTTACAGCAGATGTTTGCATTATTAATATAATTTTAATACTTTTCTCTTCCACGTCATCTCCGTATAAACATATGTAAAAAGGAATTTCAATTACGTAGAGTTTCCCATACGTGTGTTCATTCCCGTCATTTTCACGAATGAAGCGAGAAATACTTTTTTTTTTTACCAATGACTTTTTGAAATAGCAACCATTAGTAAATAAAGATATATTTACCTCTTAAAAAATATATTATAATGAAACTTGTATGGCTCTAGATATGAATATTGCTTTCTGAAACATTTAAAATTCTGACTAAAACTTCTACAATCAGTTTCGCTTCTACAGTTTTAGACGAAAAATAGTCATGTTCTGAATTCAGAAACAGATCAAGAATCATCGATTCGGCTATTCGCTAAGTCCGAAAATAGAACATCAATGATTGAGCAATCAAATCTGTAGTTAGTTAAAAAGGATTTCATATTGGAGAATCTTCATTTTCTTGATTTCGAAATGACCAATGTACTTTATGAGAAAATGATAGAATGAAAGATACTCAACAATATGAGGATTCTCCTTCAAGGGGTAAAAAACTGATTCTATGTGATAGAAACAATGAAATCAGGTAGAATCGAAGGAATCACTAGAAATCATACAGATTAATTTGTAATTATGTTGAATAAATGGAAACGCACGAGATCAGTCTTCTTCAATATTCATATGTATTTCAAAGGGTCCTAGCAAACGAGAGTTTCTACAAATAAAACTTCTGTTTGTGATATTTTTCATGCTGAACAACTAACTTCCTCGATGTTTAATATATTTTAGTAGATGTAAAAAAAAATAAAGTCATAGTTGCATGCAACATGTTGAGAAGTTAGCTGTTCAGCATGAAAAATATCATAAACAGAAGTTTTATTTGTAGAAATTCTCTTTTGCTAGGACTCTTTTTTGTACATATGAACACTCATGAAGATCGATCTCGTTCATTTCCATTTATTGAACGTAACTACAAATTAATCTATACAATTTCTAGCTATTTCATCTATTCATTCTCAGTTATTCTATTGAGTCCAGATGATTTTATTGTTTCTATCACCATAGATAGTGTCATCTTTCCCACCCTCTTTGAATTCTTCAATATAAAATTCTTTTACCATACAGACATTTGTTCCCTCTACTATTGATGTTCTAACTTCTGGCTAAGTGAAAAATATCTCCAAACTTGAGAAATTCGGAATCGGTACATGCATAGTTGAAACTTATTGAGTTCAATAGTTTTTGACTTGAACTTCATGTGTGCTTTACAGAATACCGGAATCTAGGAACCTTAACGTCGCTGGATGGCTCCAAAGTTATTTGAGTTGATGAACGCTTCATTTTGTAGCTCTCAATAAAACATCGTAGACTCAATAGCTCAATAATAGTTGTAATGAACCAATTTTAGCGAAGAGAAGTTACCGTTACGTTACTAAGTAACTGGTAACGGGCCGTTACTAGCTACCCGGTAACGGTCTTCTAACCTTCCTGGGCCATCTTCTCGTACCTTTAGAGCCTCAAGTCCCGATATAGGACGGTACCCTTGGGCCCTAACGTCTCAATATATGGAAGGTATCCTTGGGTCTTCAAGTCCCAATATAGGGGTACCTTTGTGTCTTCAAGCCCTATTGTAGGCGGGTACCGGTCGATCTTCAAATTATAATATAAGGAGTGCCCTTGGGTCCTCGGGTTCTACTATCGGGGATATCCTTGTATCTTCAAATCCTGCTATTCTAGTAGTTGTCCACGAAATAAGACAGAAATAGTCTCCTGAAATGAGGCTAATCCTCCCCACACAGAATAGAAGCCCACTGGGCTTCTATTATGTTGGGAAAATCATAAGTTTGAGGGTGGGCTTCTATTGCGATCCAGTTTTTCGTCATATACAGTAACATTCGAAATGTTGTTTCCAATGAAAATAATACCAAGATTATAATAAATTTATTAAAATTCCTATGCAACTGTATATATGAGGAGCACGACTGTTGTGTGTCAGACAATTATGTGCAGACAATTGTGTATGGACAATTGTGTGCAAGAAAATTGTGTGAACGAACAATTGTGTGTTAGATGTTTGTGTGCAGATAATTGTGTGCAAAATGAGTGTGTGCTATGTGCAAATAAATATTTTTTTCAAAAAAATTGAAAGACAATGAATGTTATTAGTTCTATGCAATCTAGCTTTACATATCTGTTTGTTGCATTGTGTACATCACCAATATACATTATTTTCATAAGTACGTTCTTGAACGTAATCAAAACCGTTCTCAATCAGAACTGAGTTGCTTTTTTCAGTTTTCAAAAATAAAATTGACATGATGTGTTCGTACTTTCAATGTGGTCTGTATGATAGTGAATTTTGAATGACTGTAAATGGATATCTTCTACAATTCTCACTTGTTTAAATACTTTCAAGGAAAATTGATCGATGTCCATGCACATGACCGTCTGTTCTCATAATTGTCTTACACACAACTGTCTGTTCTCATAATTGTTTTTCACACAGTTGTCTGCACACAATTGTCTTACACACAATAGTCTTACACACAACAGTCATAGACCCGTATATATGTAGTGGTGTTTCGATTGACAGAACTTGGGAAGAGAGTCAACTACTGTTTCAAAAAGTTTCTTAGAAATTTTCGAAGAATTTCTCGATAAGTTTTCAAAAATTTCTTAAGATGACCCTCAAAAAATTAACTTTTCCTCAGAATCACTGAGATTGAGGAAAATATATAGGAAGATAGCCTGTCATTTGGTCTTTCATAAACGATAAAAATTTTTCTTCGGTATCTCCTTTTTTCCGAAAAATTTTCAAGATTTTTGGCAACCCCCGTTCGAAAAACCAGCAGTTTTTGAAAAAAAATCCAAAATTTTCTTTCTTTTTTTCCCAAAGTTGTAGTCGAACGACGCATCTCCACCAAAAGTCAAATATAATGCCATACAAAGTCAAATATTTTTTTTTGTTTGAAAGAGCGTCAAAAACTGCAGTTCCTATGAGAGCCCTTTTTTTTGATAAAACTTTACTACTTTTATATTGATAAGTAATTTTATTATACGAGCACCATTTTTTTTTTGAGGGGTTTTTGAGTGATTGAACTTGTGAAGCCTTTTCTTCATGAGGATAAGAATTTTAAAAAAGAGCCCTCATAGGCACTGCATCTTGACATACTCTTTCATATGAAAAAAAACAATTAACCATATTGATTGAACATCCATAGAGAACTTTTGGAGAGGCGATAAGCTATTTTTCGACCATTGTTTGGTTCGTATCTATCTCAGACATCAAGACAGGAAGCTAAAAGTTTTACCACAGACGTACTTTAATACTCCTAATATATCTTCAAAGTTTCATGCTATCTCGATGTTCTGGAGCTGAGATCGAATTTTGAGGGAGGCGAGTTTAACAAGGTTTGTAAATCGTTAAGCAAAAAAACGAAATTTTTGAAGATTGGAATGACTTAAGGCTACATCAATTTCCATTCTTGGAATGGGTCGAAATTAGTGTGAAATTGGGATCGCTTTGATAGGTTTCTATCTAGTACAAACACTCGCACGGTTCTCTGTGCGATACTATAAAAGCATCTTCGAATATGAGAAAAAAAATTTTCGAAAATTTCCCCTGGAGAATGTGCAAAAAAACTTTTCTTTCTTCCTTCGCCATTTCGATTTTGGTGGGCTTCTATTACATCTGGAAAATTATAGTGATGAGACTGGGCTTCTATTCTGTGGGGGGAGAGTTACCCAGGCAGACAATAAACGGCCAGAAAGGTGTTTTAACGCGTTAAAAAAGCGTTTACACCGTTTTAACTGGTTTAAACGCATTTACTACTGAATTTTTCACTTTTAAATCGTTTTTACACTTTATTTTCAACTAAATTTAACAAAACCGTTAAAAACGCACCAATTTCGCGTTTTTTTCGAAAAAAAACCGTTGTAACAGTATTTTCCCGTTTTGCTTCGATTACCAAAAACAATCAAAACTACAAAAATTTTATTATTATGCTGTCAGTAAATCATGTGCATCGTCACTAACTAGTTATTAGTAGGTAATAGTCTGCGCTACTAATCTGTTACTAATGAGTAGTACATTTTTAATTTAACTATTCTGTGACAGTTATACCTGGTTGAATTTATCTAAATCACGTAACACAACATAGTGAGTAATCAGTCTGGTTACTTTCTAGTAAGTAGTAAGTTTTACAATTCGTTGTTTATTAGTAACAGGCAACTGATGGTTAGAACATGTATTTTTTCCTAATAAACAGCAAAGGATCAGATCCGATATTTATTATTAGTGAACAGAAATTTTAAACCACGAAAATTTTTTTTTATCATTAAGTCGAAGTCAAAATCGATAGCAGTATAACGATCCTACTGAAAATACTCCGTGTAGTGAGTTTTCATATTCTATATTGATGTATTGTCAGTGTATCTACTCAGCAATATTCCACTGTCAATTAAAAATCGTTAAGATAAATATTGTTCGGTGTTAATATCTGATGAGAATGTAAAAAAACTTATCTTTGATTTGCATCAGAGCAACTGCCATAAACTGATTTGCTAAACAGAAATAGTCGTGCAGCACATCTCATGCTGAATATCTTTAACAATCAGCGTATAGACGATTAACGTTATAGTGATTTGTTCAATGAATATTATAACATCATCGTAACCAATATTGGTTTATTTTACTGCACATTTAAGAAGATTAATTCTAGCTCAGTTGTATTTTGTGAATTATAATAAGTGCAGACAAATATTGTTATCGTTCAAAAACTAAATGGAAGGGGGAAATCATCATTAATGTTACTACATGTTAATATATTATACTAACAACATAAACGATTCCTTCCTTCTTAGATTATATGATAATCATAATCTTCTCTATTTCTCTTTTAAAAGTGCAAGTACGTATGCGCAACAATCATGTGTAACCAAGATAAACAAGTTATCCTGTTCTCATATAGGTTATAATTAAAAAATGACATAGATTTTAGCTGTTTCAACAAAAGTTTCAAAACTTGACTATTGTATATTTCATCTAGTTATCATCGTCACATAGAAACAGAGTTATCATCAGTCCACATTTGCAAGAAATTTTTTCCATTCTGTCTTTTCTTTCCGTCCGTTCAGTTCACAGAAAAAGGAAAAAAGAGGTCATTCTTTTATCACT